GTTTCCTTGAACTGATCTTCCATCTTTCTGAAGTCTGTAATTTCCTTTAATTTCTCACGGCATTTTCTGCACACCCCTTGCAATGATATAGAAGAATGCTATTATAAACCAGTCATTCTTCGAAACTTCGTTAATTTATTTACTAAATTACCTGATCCAGCTTGTAAAAAGACACCAGTGTCACGTAGCAGTAGCTCCGATTGTAACTTTCCGAGCCCTCGATCTCCTTTTGGCCAACTTTTTTTTGTCTTTCCATGGTTAGACAGAACGGGTGGTATTCTGCACCTGGTGCTCGCTCCCCTCGTCCATCCCACCCCAAGTTTTGCACGATGAAGAGGACATATCGACATTGAAGTGATATCATCTGGCCTCGTGAAAATAGCTGCACGACACAAGATCAAGTCCACCTCATTTTCCGGTCCAGAAAACGAGTACGATGCCGTGTGTGTTGTGATGTCTTTCACGCACGAAACTAAGGGGACTACTAGTACTTCGTCCTGTTCTCTATTTCTGGTATCCGCTCCACATAGTCCTCCAACAATTGACTTTAACGAGCAGCAAACTTCCATATTTTGTAACATCAATGCATCTAGAGTATGTCTGTTTGCAGGTTGTGTATTACATTAATCGAATGAAAATTTTCACAAAAGGAAATTGAAGAAAGTTGAAGAGGAAGTTACGTTGCAAAGATTGGTTTGTTGTTTATTTTAATATTTACACTAAAAGTATATTAGATTCATTTACATTTTCGTTTTTTCATGCAACTGCTGAATGATATGAATAATTTCAGTTAAAATCAGTGCTTGTAACGGACTCCGATGGTCAGAAAACACACTAACCTGATATGGATAGGATATACTGTTTCAAAACTGTTGACATTTTGACAGGCCAGGAGTATTTATGAGATGTTTTGTAGAAAAAAGACACAGTTTAAATGCTACTTTGGAGTGCGTTCAGAACTAAAAATGTAAGTACTTTGTTCTTAATACTACTGATTTGATTTAAATATTACAAATATCAATTGAGACCCTTTTGTTTATACGATAAACACATGGATTTTGTCTTGTGTAAAGTGACGGCACGTGTCAAAGGTGAGCAATATGACCCAACTTTGGGAAGCAATAGCGTAACGCACAATCATTTGCCCAAAGTAATCTTTATATCATTCGAAAGAACATTATTTAGACTTGAGATTACCAACGTTTCAAGGCATTCAAAGCTTAAGCACATTCACAATATGAATTTTTGTAAAACATACTTTTATCGACTCGTTTTACGTGTCTTGCGAATAAGATTAATTTCAAAGGTCAGAATTGCTCTATTGACTCCAAAGTCGCACAATCTGTCGAGTGAGAATTGTACTAGTAGATTGAGGTAGTTTTATGTGCATAGAATCAGTATTTTCTTGGGTTGAAGCCGCTAAAGTGCAGTCCATTGTAGGGGCTAAAAATAGCATTTCCAACCGTCTTCGAAGAAATGCGAATTTCCTCTCTAAAAAGCAATGTTTGATCAAATTAACTACACAGCAATTCTTGGGATACTTAGGCCTATCATTCCTGGAAATATGAGCTAAAATGATATTTGAAGGTTGGCCAGACTTGTTTGATATTTACTGACAAGCCCTCTTAAACGCTAAAATATACGTATAAAGTTCGTCTCCAGTGTGCATTCCATGCACTCCACGCCGGATATATCCGGCGTGAGGTTACAAAATTGTTGGCGTAATGGCGTGAGATCACTCGAAAACAAGTGATTAGTTTGTGTCTGATTTCATGTCCACATGTAAATTGACAGTATAACTACACGAATATGATGTTGACATGCAGTACATATTAAAAACACACCATATTGGCTATTTTCAAAACATGGATTTAAGTCCCCAAAACTGAAAATTGGCGTAAAGGATCGTACATGTTGGCGTATCTCCGGCGTAGAGTTTACATGGAATGCACCCTGGGTTCGTCTGAATTTGCTATCAAGCAATTTATTGTGTAGCTCAATAGCCCATTACATATGCAGATCATTCCGGTGTTAAATACCTATTTCAGAATGAAATTTGTTCGTAGTTTTATTATCCGCATTTTGCCATTAAGCCTATGCATTAAGACGATCTCGACTAGATAGACGATTTTTGAGACTATTTTTATGACCATCGTCATAAAAATTCGCGACGATGGAGATGTACTAGCAGCAAGAAAAAACTGATTGCGGAATCTTATTGGTTAAAAATTTGGCAATCTTCTGGCGCTCGACGAAGTCAATCCTCATCAGTCGAAGTACATAGACGATCGCTCTTTGCGCATCGGTCGTCACGAACTGTTTTGAGCCATTAATTAGTCTTTCTCACGATGACGAATACCCGCCCGGGGTGGCATCTAATTCTCGTTAAAACAATGTGAAAAGCAATTTTTCAAAATAAACTAACCATTTATAAAGCAAATTTACCATCATTCGTCCAAAAAATTATAAAAAGTCGCAGTTATGTGGACTTATCTCGCAGACTTTGCTGAAATGCCACCCAAAAATATATGGCGGCGTGACTCGTGAGAATTAGAAAGGCATAATTACAGTCAAACCGGATGTTCTCTTGCAAGCAACATTGCAATATTGTCCCATAGCCTCCTCCGCAGGCATCGCCTTTCGATTATCCGGCAAAATTTCTTTCTGAAGTACGTAAACTACGAGATGCCTGCGGAGGAGGCTATTGCAAGTTGAAATTCACAAAAGATTTGTAAACAAAGCGTCTGATTGGACTAGAAGAAAGAGGGAAGCACCAATCCAGTTGCTCAGACTAATTGATTGGCTTCCCTCTTTCTTATAATCCAATCAGAGGCTAATTGTTTACAAATCTTTTGTGAATTTCCAACGAGTGTATCTAAAAGTCGAGGGTCGAGAGTCGAGAGTAAAGGTCGAGAGTCGAGAGTAAAAGTCGGGAGTCGAGAGTAAAAGTCGAGAGTCGAGAGTAAAAAGTCGAGAGTCGAGAGTAAAAAGTCGAGAGTCGATCGAGAGTAAAAAGTCGAGAGTTGATCGAGAGTAACTGAAAAGTCGAGAGTCGGCAAAATTGTCATCAGAAACCGATCCGTAACAACGGCTGATTATAGCCGTATGGGCGAGGGGGGGGGAGGCAGTCCCGCCCCCCAATCAAAATAAAGTCATGCAAATTATAAACGTATAAATTCGGGCAAAAATTGGGGGAAATAAATTTAAAAAGAAGACAGTACATGCAATATGGTATTTGAAAATACCAGACAGAAATATGTAAAAATAACGAGGAATCGACAAATAGGAAAATATTTTTGTCTACTTCCCAACGACAATTTTGGAAATTTAGTTACACGGAAAATTTTATTCAGTGGGTAAAAGTCGGGTAAATTTTCTTTCTGGCTCCCTGATTTTTTCCCGCTCGTACGCCTATGACGGGGTCGCTTGGCGTAAGAACTACAACGTCTGTGAGCAGGCTAATGACGGCTGAACTAATTTCATTTCCTATATCGGAACATAAAGCAAACAATATTTGAGAAACATAATTAGTATGCTCAAATTCTCGAAATTAAAGTAAACAAGAGGCATATACAATCAAAGGAATAATCCAGTATAATATAAAACAAAAACTTTCGCAAACATTTAGCCACAACATTCAATAATAATAACTATTATCTAATAACTAGTTTTATCGCTTCCTTATATTACTGTCCATCCTTCCCGCTTTTACACGCACCTATTTCTGCGAAAAATTACTCATATCATATATGTGAATCTACATATAAATACTAGGACTTTACAATCACGTGCGAGACATATGACCACCCGATAGAGTCACACATACGACAAAACAATCCTATTTTTACTGGCTCGTATTTATGAATTCACAATTGTATGAATCGTTAGATCTATTGTGATCAACGTGGATTTCTTAATACGCTCTCGTTTGATATAAACGTACGTTAATGAATACTGTAAGTGACATTTTAGAGGGTCCTGAAGTGGTAAAATGGGAACTGGGATTTGCTTATTGTTGGGTGGGAAAATGGGATTTTATGCACTGGGACTGGGATTCATCAGCAAAAAAACAATAGAAAATGGGAATGGGATTAAGATTTGAGCAGGACAGCCACTGAGATGATGGGATTTGTGCTCTGGGACAATGGGATTTACATGGGCGTACGGGAAGGAAAAAATTAGGGAGGGGGGGGGGCGGAAAAAAATTTGCCCCACTTTTTCGGATTGTGCCCGCGTTGTTGCCCGATGTGAAGCGAATATTACCCGACTGGCTTTGTTTGTCCAACAAACTGGGGGGGGGGGGCTACTCCCCCCCCGCCCGGTACGCCCATAGGGATTTAGTCAAAATTTGGGCTGGGAAATGGGAATACGACCCCCCCTTTCAGGACCCTCATTTTAGTTACAAGCCTGGAGATGGCTGTCAAAATTCAGCGGAGTTTATGTGTCAGTTAGAATGAAATGACATGTGAAAACACTTAGCAAGATTGAGGCATCAAATGCGATATTATTTGTATTTCAGCCGTTGGTACTTGTTACGGAATGGCTATGTAAAGCTATATATAGATTGTGTTAAACGTGGTTAAAAATATTTTGACTTTGTTGTTTCTGATGACATTTGCCGACTCTCGACTTTTCAGTTACTCTCGATCAACTCTCGACTTTTTACTCTCGATCGACTCTCGACTTTTTACTCTCGACTCTCGACTTTTACTCTCGACTCTCGACTTTTACTCTCGACTCTCGACTTTTACTCTCGACTCTCGACTCTCGACCTTTACTCTCGACTCTCGACCCTCGACTTTTAGATACACTCATTTCCAACTTGCAATTTTTTCGCGTCGGTTGCATTTTGCACAATATTGCTAGGTTGCTCGCAAGAGAACATCCGGTTTGACTGTAAACAGTTCAAAGCCCAACAAACGACGTGTGAACTTGGGATCCCTGTGGGTGTACATCCGGGAACTTCAGCGATTACGCGTGGCTCGATCCATTCCCCTAGAATCTCTTTTGTCGCTGAGTCGCTCGACCTTTACAGTCATCACAGGGAAAGGAAAGTTCCTTCCTGAAAATTTTGATGTAAAATTGGACATATTCATATTATTTTGAAGCCTGTGGTAAGTTGGAACAATATATTCTATTACCAGATTTTATCCTGTGTGAAGTATTACTGTTTCCACGTTACAAAACCGACGCATAATCAGTGTAGTTCGATTGGAAATTATCTCATGAGACTGTTTGGCTATCTTCAGAGCTTTCTACCTATATTAAAATTTACTGCTCAAATTCATTTTGCGTTTTGTAAAATCAGTTAATTTTGAAATGTTCTCAAATTCATTTTGATAATTTCATAATTAAATGGTATGTTCAAGTTTTTTTTGGAGGACTAGTGGATATTAGATATATACAGTACTGTTGTTGTTAATGTAGTATTTCTAATTTATTAAATGAGACAGTTTATATAAGCCGATAAAAAATTACCACTCCATAAAATATAACATAATTTTTTCGTTGACCAGTACTGAACAATTGTTCTGAAATATTGTTATGCAATACATGCTTCCCAAAAGTATGTCACTTTGGCTATACAACCTTGTTTTCATGGATCTAACATCAGCTGAATCCAACATCATGAAAACGAGGCTCAAAAGCTAAAGTTAAAATACTTTCTGGAAGCGTGTATTTGAAAAACACTGTACGTTAGTATAAAATAAGTTATTCTGCTCACTATTTCACACAATTGTATTAAAAAAAGGAGAGGTGGCAAGACTTGCAATTGTCTGTACCACAAAATTTATTTTCCCAAGATTTCAGAACCTGCCAGAATGCGAAGGTTAAGGAACATTAATTTTTCACCATATAAATGGCATAATTAAAAAATTACTCGAACTAATTTGCTACTATGGATGCGTATCACTGCATAATTTTTCAAAGTTCAAAGTTCAATAAATTTAAAAGGTGGTACGGTAAGGCACAGTTATGCAGTTAAGAGGCATGGGCACATAGTTTGGCTAACTAAATGTGCACAAGAATTAGATATAAAGTATTTGAACTTGTCTTGCTTCTATTATGAGAGGCACTTTTGCTTGACAGTCCACGAAAGAGCAATATTACGAACATGTCTGGGAACTGTTACTGCCTAGATGACTCTCCAAATTGAAGCCAAAGGAGCATCTTATCGACCCTCTGTTTCATGCAAAATACAATGCCTTGTACACTGCAAGTGTGTACACCAGGGTTCGTACAAAACTTGAAAGTCCTTGAATGTACTTGAATTTGAAAACAAAAATTCAATGTCTTGAATGTCCTTGAATTCTTCTTGCTTTAGTTTTTGGATACTTTCTGAAATTGCTTGACATTCAAGACGGACATTTTGTTGAACTGATTTTGCATGTTCATATCTGACCTCATTATAAAGTTACGTTTTGAACAATTCAACGTCAGATTTTGCTGATTTCTAACACCTTCATATTTAGTCCTTGAATTTGCTGATACACAGCCTTAAATGACCTTGAAAAGTCCTTGAATTTAACTCTTCCTGACCTGTACGAACTTTGGTACACACTATAGCTACTATATTGCTGTTTTCCCACTTCCATTTTAATAAGGTGTTGAAAGACTGAACAATTTGACTATATAGTCATTATAGTGTATATTTCGTACTAGAGACGCTTGAAATTGACAATTAGCCGAGGTCTATTACAGTGTATATAATCTGTTTAACCCATTAAGCTGCAGCGCTTCCCCATTGACGAGTAAAATCTTCTGGCATTAGACAAGTAAAAAAATAAGTAGGGCGCATTCCAGCTCAATGGGTTAAAGAGAGACATTGTATATCAAGTATAATTGTCTGGCATTAGACAAGTAAAAAAATAAGTAGGGCACACTGGGGCGCATTGCGGCTCAATGGGTTAATTATTGACCAGTGTTGCACTAAGGTTAACAATGTACGGTAAATTA